GTACCGGCCAATTTCTCCTGTACTCTCACAAGAGTACCCAAATCCGGGTATGATTATAATTATTAGCTTCACACGTGCTCCGGTCTAATCCGAGCGAGCTTTGACCGTAGCTAATGCAAGAGGAGCCTTTGGATTTGTTTTCAACATGTTAGCGCCGCGGGCAACAGCCGGCGAAAAAGCAGCAGAAGAAGAAGAGAGGATATTGGCAACATTGATTTGGCTTTGAGTGCCAAAGGGAGTCTGGGATGGTGCTCTAAATGTCACCGGCTATAAATTGCTTGTTTGCGCCATCTGGAAAACTGTCCACAGTCATCCGGATGACACACTTAGCTCTTATTGTTGTCGTGCAAGCCATAAAAAGGGAATATTATCATTCCTTCGTCACCGTGCGTGTTCCAGTGGTGTCATTGTTATTAGAAGGCCAGTTTGTCAGAGGAAACAAAATTTTGTAGTCCAGTCCTGGTGTGAGTAGTTCCACTAAAAAGCAGGAAATCTGCCATTTCGGTCTGAAACGGCCATTTTAGGGTCAGTTTGATATTTTCTTATGCGTTGCTTCGTCGTGCGCTTTTCTTACAAATTTGTCTTGATTGTAAACGCATTTAAACTCCAGTCTGCCTTGAGATAAAAAACTTTAGAAGACAGTTCCTCCAAAGAGGCATTACTCTGTTTAAGGTCACTCCCAGTTCAAGCTGACTGTCAAGCTAAACATAAAATAAAGGGAATTACACTTTGTGTATTTTTTTTTTTATCTTGCTCTTGACAAATACCCCATATATAAAAAATAAACTAGAAAAAAACCCTGAAAAAGTTGCGATGAAAACTAATTAAAAAAAAATAATCACAAATGTCAAAACAAATTTAAAAATAATTGCAATGAAAACTTCTGAACCATTTGCCGCTCTATTGAGAGGACTTGAGACTTTCATTATTAATCCCCCACAGCCACTTTCCCGTCGCACCCTGACATTTGGTAGGCATGATTGTCATTACTAGAACCATGCACCTATTATCCGAGCCGCTTATCCGCACGAGAACCCCATTAAAAAAAGTCTCAAAATCCCCCCCACACAAAAACAATGAAAGTCTGCCATTTAAGGATCAATTTGGCTTTTACCAGGGGTCCTTCAAAAGTGAACTTGCCCTCACGATTCGGTGCAAGGGCTCATTCGATTGACTTTTTTTTTTTTTGTGTGTGTGTGTTGTTTTCCCCTTGCAGCCGGCGGTGGACTTGAGGGTCAATGGACTTTCGTCTTCTCCCGCCGCGCAAGATGGAGAACCACTTCCCGAGAACTCAGGTGAAACACTCGGCAGCAAACACCTTTGAGGGGGTGATCAAGGCGCCGCTTTTCTTCTCTCCAATTGAAATGGAATTCCAACTCCATGCATGCGTGTATGTGTTCAGATGAGCTGCTGGAGCCTCACAACAGCAGCTCTGATCTGGCTGATGTCATGGAGCAGATTAACAACTCCTTCCCTGCATGCAGTCGTAAGTTTCCCCTCAAAATTCTCCTCCTCCTCCTCGTCTTCTTACCGCGTGGTAGCGTCAATCCATCATCCTCAGCAAGACTGCCGGTCAGCACCTGTCATCCGTGTTTAATAGAAAATCAAAAGGTAAAATGAAATACAAACTAACTTAGAATGGGGGGTGGGGGGGAAATGTATTGTCATAATCCTGAATGAGAGTGACATTGCGGTCACACCAAATGCAGCCACCATGTCACATCATTTGAAATGCTCATTCCATTCAACTCGAACGATTTAAAAGTCACGAGTTACGATTCCAGCATAGTTAGCCAAAATGTTGTGTTTGCTGCACTCTGTAAGCGTGTAATGCGTCTCCAATGAAATTAAAACTGTCGGAAATGCTGCTGCAACTTTATGATCGGCCGCTAAACCCACTTAACGGATGATTGCAAGCAGTAAAAACATATTGCTCGCATAAAAAAAATATATATATATTCTGAGTTACAGCATCAAAATGACATTCTGCAGAATTTCTAACATTTTTTGTTTTTTGCCCGCAGCAACAAGCCACTCGTCCAGACCACAGGTAAGGTGACGTGAAGTGTGCACAGTTGCAGGGTTCGATTCCGGCTCTGGCCTCCCTGTTTGGAGTTTGCATGTTGTCCCCGTGCATGCGTGGGTTTTCTCTGGGTACTCCGGGTTCCTCCCACATTCCAAAAACATGCATGGAACACTCTAAATTGTCCCTAGGTGTGATTGTGAGCGCAAATGGTTGTTGGTCTGTGTGCCCTGCGATTGGCTGGCAACCAGTTCTGGGTGTGATGTCACATATTCCATCATATGTTCTGAAGCTGTCAGACTTTGCTAATCATGTCTTCAAATTTAATCAAAATGCTATCAATCAAAAATAGAATCCACAGCACCTCCAGGAAGTGAATAGTGAAGGAAATGTGGATTCGGGGGGGGTCGTTCCAAACCCATCTTAACATCCACAGTAGAGAGAAAAGTGTTTTTATAATAGTTTTACACCTCCAACGGAAAATACGTTTAAACATATTTTTTTAAATAGTTCCTCATCGAGACCCAAACCGAAATGATGCAGTTTTGAATTGGATGAATTGTTCGGCCTTGATACTTGATGTCATTGGTCTTGCATTGCAGGTGTTGTGACCATACGACATGACCCACAAAGAAGCCCCCCACCCCGGGACCAGACAGCTCAACCACTTCATCCATCCTTGTCGTCCTCGTCTACTATGCAAAGTGCAGAGCGTCTCCAACTGTACGTCATATCCGCTCTTTAGCCCTCAATATGGACCCCCAACCTTTGTATTATAACCTCCCCCCCCCACCCCTTTTGATGCGGTTCACCCGGAAATGAATTTGTTACTTTTCCTTTCTCATTCTACTGGGCTTTGATGCTCTAAAACTCACTTATGGGAGTGTGCACACTTGTGCATTCAAAAGCTCGTGTGAGGACCTTCAAAGTTAATTTGTTTTGCAGAGTTTGTTTTACAGTACAAAGGAGTATTAGGGCCATACTGATACAAAAGAAAAAAAGATACCGGTACCCCCATAATTAAGTTAAAATATCACAAAAATAAAGTCGGAATTTTGTGAGGATAAGATGTTTAGATTTTATGAAAGTATGTTTATTTTTTTTAAAAAGCCAATATTTCAACTTGTTTTTTTTTTCTTGCAACTTTTTGACTACAAGATTACAACTAATTTATTCCGTTTTGTTTTTATTTTTAACAAATATATTACCGTCTTGAGATACATGTTTAATTTGTTCCGTGACTACTCTCGTAACTCAAAACTCTTATGTCAAATCATCGTTGCCCTCGAAATGACTGGAAATGACGTATAGTGGTTCCAGCGTCCCTCCCAAAAACAGCAAAGACTAGTGTGCTCGATAATTTTGAGCTTTATGAAAATAGATAGCAACTCCTCCTGATGTACATGACTTGGCCACTGGGTGGCAGTGCATTTCAGCCACACGGACAAACGAAGAGTCTGGAAGTGACTCAGCATTAAGCTAGCGGAAGTAGTGCAGTTGTTTCAAATGGACAATGTGTAATTCTCTTAGTTTGATGTTTAGCTTGACAGCCAGTGCGAATTGCATTCACTGTCACCGAATGACTTCTTGTATCGCAAAAGTTGTACGTCGTGCCGTGTGTATCTCAAGGCGCCACTGCGTCCCCGATTTAGTCGTTTAACATTGCGACTTCTTGTTACTCGCCGACTTTGACTTTTTTTGCATTGTCACAATTTTTTCTGCCCCACCCACCACACCCCCAACACTCTAGCGATCATCAACACACTGAGAGACTTCATTGCAACTATGTTTGTGCTTAAACGGTTTGTCAGTCCACATGCGGATGGCGGGTGAGTGTGTCCAAAGAGACATTTGGATAATTACATTCGTTGAAAGACGGTGTAGATTTTTTTTTAGGGGGGCGGTTTTGGGGTCTTTTGGGTTAAAAATGATCAATCAAGAGGAAAGCCATGATTGCCTTTGCTACCTCAGCCTCATTTGGACACACGTTTGTTGCGACTCACTGTATCCGCAGACACTGCATTGAGGATAGCACGTTGTTATTTTTTTGTTTGTTTTGGAGAGATTCAAGTCACTGTTACTGTTACCACAGTTTGGTCCTGCTGAAGCGTGCGCGTTCTTCCTTTGGTTTTGTGGCGCTATTAATGTTACGGTGTGTCATGTACGACTTGTGAGACTAAACACTACTATAATCTCCTCCCTCCCGTTTGCAGACTGTAGCTCCATATGGGTGATTATTTTACCAGATACTTTACAATGGCAAAACTGTGGTTAAAACCCCCCACCCCTACCCCTTTCCTGGTATGTAAAATAGATGGACCACACTATGTGTAAAATGGCAACATTGTTTTATTTCCAAATAAAAATTTTATAACAACGCGCTTGCGCCTTTTGATGGATTTCTTCTGTCAGGTGATGATTTTTCTTGTCTCGTAACGCATGCTGTTATTGTTTGCAACGACAGAATTCATCATTATTGCTCACTCGTGGCCATTAATTAATACGCTGTTGTAAATTGTTGTAATATTACACATTCCTTGGAGAAAAAAAATAATCTGAAAAAGTTTGTGGATGAATGGACACAGGTCTTGGCTTGTATGGCATCTGCTGGTCCCCTAAAGGGCCATGACTGGTCATTTGTCAGGTCAAACCTGAAGTTCTTGGCTGGAGACGCTGGAGGTGAAGTTATTTATTTGCTGCCCTTCATGCAGCGGCATCGGTTTTGCTGGCGCTGTCCATCTGACAGCTGTTCCCATACGAGCCCAAGTTTTTTTTTGGCACGCTGGCTGTGTTGGTGGTGTGGAGGATAACCTGGCACAAGGTGAAGGATGCGGATGTTGAGTAAGGAGGCAGCCACAAAAGAACGATTCATTAAGCGTTAGCCGTGAGGTGCCAAATGTACTCTCGACTTACGGTAAGTCCTTGGAAAACAATGCATGTCAATTCTGAATATAAATCAGTACACCTCGCCAGAACATTGTATCCTGATAAACATAAAAGAAAAAAAATATTCATGTGCTGAACAAATAATTTCGTCACATTTTTATACTCTGTACACTCTGACATTGCCAACTACTGTAGCGGGTGTGCTCTTATACACTTTATTGTATTGCAGCAAAGAAAAAAACAAGTATGTTCTTTGACTGAGCTTTCAAGGTTCACAGTATATTGTGATTTTTGACTAAGGAATCTACCCATTAAAAGATGAGTTTTTTTCTTTTATCGCTCACACACAAAAGTTTGTTTCTACCTTATTCTGTCTTTTATGAATCAGCAGAATATGCGTTATCTTCTATTTTGGACCAAATAAAACGCAGAAAAGAATTTGGGTGTCACGTCAGACTCAGTACAGTCAACGAACTACAAAAATGGCTGAAGAACTACATGAGACCGGAAAGACGTACCGCACAGCTGCTGCCTGAATTTACGTGGCAGGTGGACCCAATTATCAGCAAGTAACAGACAGCGGAAGGTTTGTCTTGTTTTGAACCCTTGCTTCGAGCCCTACAAACACCGGGGAAAAAAAGGTAAAACGCCGAGATTACAAACTTGCAAACTTTTGTGTGTGTATGTGTGTGTGTGTGTGTGTGTGTGTGCGCGCGCGTGCTCGTGCTATTTTATTCAGTGGCTGGTGACGTCGTTTAACTGTAATTATAACAAAAATGATTTGTTTTTGTCTTTTTAAATAAACTACATCCTTAAAAAAACGACTGCTAAAACGAAATTAAAACTAACACACCCACTCGTAAGCTGCTAAAAGCTGAAAAAAAAAGTCATGGTACACGCATATCAATAATCAGGTCAGGTTTGAGTATATCGTCACGTGTTCGAAAGTTTCAGCATCCTTAAATGGATTGACGTCACAAGTTCCACTGCACTTGTACACTCCATTTTCATGCGCTCGCTATTGTTCATCTTTTATCACAGCACGCGGCTCCATAAAATTCGTTCATAAACAGCATGTATCATTTTAATTGTTAAAACAAACACGGATAGCCTGTATTATTCCTCTCGGTGAATGATGCCGGGTTTAGGTCCAACCGCTAATGAAAGCAGACAAAGTCAAATTGTTGTGTGTGAGCTGGGAGCTACTGGAGGTGCGCGGGGGAATCATTCAGCATCCTGCACTTTCATTACGGCGAAGACCTTTTGCTCGCAGCAGCTTCTCGGGCTGGCGCCCGGGCCGTTGCGAATCCAATCTCACCATCCAAAGCGCTTGTAAATACAAAAGAGCGGGCTTTAATTAAACACGTCAATTTTTTTTTCGTTGACTCGAAGGGGCATGGGGGTTGGGGGTTGCCGAAATATTTGCGGGGAAATATGAAGTACACCTTTGTTGTTCTGCGGCCTGGATGAAATTGATATTGACCGCGCAGCGGCAGGCTGAGAGTGGTTGCCATTCCATTTACTTGCTGATGTATGCAAGCCGTTCGCCTGCATGTGTTACAATCGAGATTTGCTATTCATGAGAAACCCTCAGCCGGAGGCGAAACAACATTGCCCATACGTCCCTCGAGTGCTGCTCGTCGATGCCGCCAAGCAATCAATCTATTAATTTTCCATACCATGTTCGCCGATGTATCGCCATTCTTAATTCGTGCCCCGACCATATCACCTATTTTAATTTTTTTTTTAACGGGGTTTCACAGTAAATAAGCAAGTTTCAATTGAGACTAGTGCGCCTTTGGTGTAGTACCACGTTTTGCCACAACATGAGTGGCAGCACTGAGCTCTACCGGAAGAGAGGCACTGTAATTAACTCATTCACTGCTATTGTCGTTTATGTTGTCAATTGGAATCCAACCGTTGACTGACAGTGGCAAATACAGTAATCCCTCATTTATCGCGGTTAATGGGGACCAAAACCATCCGCTATAAACGAAAATCCGCAAAGTAACGACCAATTAAGTCGTAGAAAGGATTCCGTCAGTCATCATCTGTACCTGTGGGTAAAAAACAAAAACAAAAAAGGACGTTTCGCTTCTCTCACAGAAGCTTCGTCGTTTTTTACCCCCAATTACAGATGACGACTGACGGAACCCTTTCTACGATGGAACTTTCCTGTACGACTGAGAGCCTCCACAAGCAAGGACCATGTTTGCAAATGTTTTATCTTGACTCAACACAAAGATCACAAAGTCTGCTTAGATGGAGCACCATAGAAATCTAAGAATGTTTACTGTTGAGAGACTGAAATTCTAAAGATATGTCGATAAATCGATATATATTTTTTTTATGTGTTTGAAAAAATCCGTGATGCACTGAACCCGCGATAAACGAACCGCAAAGTAGCAAGGGATCACTGTATATTTATGGGGGGGGGGGGTACCGTGTGGGGATGAGAGGGACTAAAACAGCCTAGAAATAGATAATAAAAAATGATTCTCATAATAACTGCATTGGAAAAAGAATGGTTTTGTTTTTCCTCCCAGGAACTTTCTGCTGTTGCCGAACCACGAGTATGTGAGGGGACTGCTGTCGATTTTTTTAACAGGTAGGTTTCACTTTGCGTGTCTGTGAAATTCAGGTTTATAACCCACTGCAAAGACAATCAGACGCCACTATTTTTACGCGGTGACAAATGCTCGCGACAGAAGAAACGAGCCTTGGAATGCCACAATGGCAACACATGCATGTGAACTTATAAAAGCACACCCGAGACACGTTGTGACATTTATTGACACTAAAAGCGACGATTCCGAGGCCTCTGCACAGACGGACGCTCTGGGAAATGTCCCAAAAGAGCTGGCGCGTCACAGATCCGAGCTGGCGCTCGGTGGCTACCTATTGTTCATGTCACAACACACGCTTGGCTTTGGGAGCTAATACGCGCGCACACACACACACACACACACAAAGGGCCATGGTTTATCAAAAGGCTGTGTGTAAAACTATTGATTATGAATGAACATCAAATGGAACAATTTTGTTACTCGACTTGAATTGAGTCCAAATCAGGGTTCTAATCATTTTGGATTGGCATTACCTCAACCCCTTTCCCCCACCCTCGCGCATCCTGGTTGAAAGGTAGGACAAAATGAATACAGGACAAATAACAAAAGGACACAGGAATCAGGCGCAGGCTTTATGAATAAAGTATCAACCAAAAATCTTCCAAGTCAATAAGAATAACTCCACCGGGCGCCCCTAAACAAATAAATATACCAAATATCAGTGCGGCTTCCTCAGCCGGCCCCCCCACCAGTGTGACCGAGAACGAAAACACACAAAGGTGACACCAAGTACACGTTTTCAATCTGTGTAAGGAGCTCTCCAATTTATCTCATGTCTGGCATCAGCGCATTACATATTGTTGTTGTTATCCTGCTTTGTTCCTCTCTCAGGGAAATGCGGCGTCTGGTTCCAGGTGTTTGTGTACTTTTGTGTGCGTGTGTAACACGTGCACAGCATCACCAAGGGCTGCGAAATGGAAATGCCGCCAAGCTCCATTTTATATTTGACCTGCTTAAATCAGGAGAAAACTGCTTTTTGCAATGACTTGAAGAGCCCGTGAAGTGAATTTATGGATTTTGTTTCTGAAATCCATGACTGAGAACTATGTCGTAGTCAATTGAGGAGCAATAGCATTTAACTGTTCTTCCCCATTTTAGTTTTCCTGCTGGTTTTTTTTTGGGGGGGGGTACAACCGCACCACAAAAGTTGTGGGAAAAAAAACCCATTCAAAATCAATACAAATAAAAATGAGGGTGCTTTTGAAACCCCCAAACAAACCGAAACTACATCTTACGGCTCGTACAAAGTCTCACAAGGCCTCTGCAGAGACGAATTGAGTGCCCTTTTCGTTGACTCTCCCGAGATTACCTGTCTGGCTTGTCATTCTTCGGCTAGTGAGGATGAATCCTTTCCATCAGTGGAATCGGGGAGTGAGATCTTCAGACGGCATCTCCAAACGTGTGAAACGTCTTGAACTTTGGCTTACACGCCTTGAATAAATCCCTCGCTAAGGCAGTTGGCCGATACCGTTTCTGGCAACCGAGATTGGTCAAGTGAGATACTCTCCGGCTGTTCATCATCTCCGCTGAAGACCTTTCGAATCAAGAGGGGAGCAAGTTGGAACACTTGGCCTGACATTTTTTTTTTTTTTTTTTACTCAAACTTCCGACAATTAAAAAAAAATTATAAAACCAGTTCTCAGAGCAAATTACGATTTTTAGGTCACGCCTGGAGAAAGCCTCAGGCGCTGGTTGCCTTCCCAGTCCAACTTTCTTCCATGGAAGAGGTCCAAAATCCATCATTACTTACTGCCCGCAAGCGTCTTCGTTAAAACTCCCTTTGGCTGGTTTGCCCGGTGAACAATCCGCTGACTTTTTAATTCCTAAAAAAAAAAAAATGTTTGAGGATTTTCAACAATGCTATCGTGCCGACGCAGATGCGGGAGACTGGCATTGCTTAGGATGCTTTTCACCATTTATATGCTTCGAGAATGTCGAGGAATTCTTTTCTTCAGTCTTTTCGTACTGAAAACGACAAGAGAATTTGACTCAAATGTCCTCACAGTCACCGCGGCACTTTTTAATGACTTGACGTCTCGCTCAACAAACTGATACACGACCAATGTTTTCTACTGAGTTGATGCTACGAGACAAGTTCAGGCATAACGCCCTGTTCGGCCATGTTGAAGATACCTTGCCGGCTTCCAATGTCAGTATTCAAGAGCCGACAAATAATATCACGTCCAGCAGGCAAACGGACCCCTGAAGGCAAATCTTAAAACCCAAAGAGAGACCAGGAGTCAAGCAGAGTTGAAAATAACTTTGCTCGTCGCACGTCAAGACTGCAAACAGGAACAAGCTGCCCTCTTCAGCATGCTAAGCTGTTTTGATTGCGCGCTAGGTACGTAAACGAAGTCCTTGCAGGGTCACACTAGTAAGTTGATGATCTATCTAAAATTAGAGAGCCATAAGATATCTACAATTACTCTTATAAATAACGATCAGATTTCTACGTTTGTAACCTTTCGTTGCTCAAAGAACAGTAAGGGACCCCGACAAACCCATTTTGTTCATATTGCGACTCGGGGTTAAGGTTGTCGTTAATATTTGTGGGGAACTGTGGGCACGTGAAGCTCTTTCAGATTTTTTGTGATGAAGGGCTCTGGAAATAAATGTGACTTGACTCTTGTGAAAAGTTGATCTAATGAGTTCTCTTACGGAGTGGCTGCAGAAATAATGCCGCAAAAAGAACAAATCGGCACTGATTTATGCAAGGGCATGTCTCAATTTGGACTGTGCACATTTTTAATCCGGTCTCGACATTTTTATCTCCTAAAATTGAAAAGATGGGAGCTTAAAAAAACAAACAAGAATTATAAAGCAGCCTACCGACTCCAAAGTTAATATCAATAAAGTGCCACGAAGAGATAATTGGATGGTGTGAAATGAAATCCAGACCAGGGCTACTTTTTTAATGATCAATTATGTGTCGTTTTCTGTCAGAGTCAACGAGGCCACGGCAGGTCAGCCGATAATAAGACACGATCGGGCACTTTACTCGATGCGACGTCTGACATCTTTACCGTGAGCATGCCCGAGCGTCCATCAAACCGCTTCCAGCCATTAGCCAAACCAAATTGGCTTCTAAATGCCATTTGTGGACAACTTGATGACATTTTCGGGAGAAGACTTTTTAAATACAACCCAGCATGACGTACGTATTAGTTGCTGACGCAAATTCAACATCAGAGGCAGAGAATTTTTTTCTTTTTTTTAAACTTTTTTGTTTTTAACCCTTTCAGGGACAGCGGTTAGTACAGTGGGCAGCCTATCACAGGGGTGTCAAACTCATTTTTGTCGTGGGCCATATTTTAATTACCGTTTCCATTCGAGTGCCGTTATGACTGAAACCACAAAAAATTCAATAACGGTTCATTCAACTATTGTTTAAGTGACTGTAATGAGAGGTTTGGTCACAAGAAAAGGCTGACAATATGTCTCTTATTTATTACATTATGAGAATTTTAAATTTTGGTGGAGATTTTGCAAAGCATCATGGAAGTTGACATATTTAATTCACCTTCGCGGGCCACATAAAATGATGTGGCGGGCCAGATCTGGCCCCCGGGCCTTGAGTTTGACACCAGTGGCCTATCATGTTAGCATGTTACAAGTTATTGTTTTTGGTGCATGAAAGGGTTACGAGAATTCAGAGCAGAATCATTTCGATATGGCGGCTTTCATTTTTTTTTTTCTTTTTTTTTTCCCTTCCTGACTTTCTTTCCTTTATTCGCTCAGCATCGCTTTTCAAAACCTCCAGTACGCTTTTGTTTTTCTGCAAATATATTGGTCGACTAAAACGAATTAAAAAAAAAAAAAATCTCGCGCCAACCTGCTCCCAAAGACGACTTCCAACCAACTGAACTTTGCAAAAGAAAAGCCAAAATGAAATATGAACTCACTCTGATGGGGGGGAGAAAAAAATTAATAAAAAATCCCAAACTATTCTCTGATCTCAAGGCACCACTTGATCCGGCCTAGCTGCCGTCTGTATCTTCAATCTGCTCAGGCCGGCAGTGTAGAAACAGCGCAGTGACTCTTGGCACTGTGAATGAGCGCAGTTCATTAAGAAGGTTGAGGGGGGGGGCTAAGGGGGGGGGTGGTCCATAACTGCCCGAAGGAGCAGTCTCCTGAAGCACCACCGCCTGGCCCGACATGAGCCAGCTCCTTTCAAAGGAGGCTCCGAGATAAAAAAAAAAAAAAAACTGAGAGCGGAGGCCATCGACAAAAGCCAGCATTGACACCCCCGTTTTTTTTTCCCCGGCTGCTGGCGTGGAAAGTAAAAAGAATCCGCCGTGACGCGATGCATGGAAATGAGCGGAGGCGCATACGGTGAAGGACATCCTCAAAAAGGATTTGGGAGGACGTCAGTGTAACGTAACGACTCACTGGTTTTGAACGGCGTCTTTTTCTGAATGGTGCTATTGGAAGGGAAATCTTAGCACCCGGGAAGATCTTACATCGACATGACATCTTTCATCCACCCATCCGTTACTTGTGCCGCTAATCCTCACGGGGGGTCAGAGTGCAGTTTTCAACTTGGAAAAGGCTGCAAAAAAAAACAACAACCATCGCCAGGCTCTATTTTATAAATTGTTTCATTTTGAAAGCGGAGTGATTCCGTTTGATCGAGTGGGATGTTGAGATGCGATATAGTCCGGCTCAGTTCGAGAGGGCGATGAGTTTTTTTTTTTGTCATCGTTTCACAACATGAATCAACTTGGCAGAACTGTGAAAGTGTCAAGATCGCTTCCCAAATGAAAGAGACAAAAATCGACACGTATCTCGATATACGTTAGGCTGCAATGATGTAATTTGATTCGATGTAGTCACATAAACCACGCCCCATGCCGCCCCAAGTGGTCGTCTTCAACACTTAAAAGCCCGCAAGTCCGCGTTAACTAGATTAACGACAAAAAAAAAAAAAAAAAACACAATCATATTACTCCTCAAAATGGTTCAGACTGCATTTTTTACGAGGTGCCCAGTCAATGATTACGGGTCATAAAATTCCGACTGCAAGAATAATTATGAGTCAAGCATGGTGGCCTCATTTTCCATCAAAAGGAGAGTTGCGTCAGGAAGGCTCATTCTTAATATTCAACAGCACACCACAACAGTTCTTGGAAAATAATCACACTTGGGACTAATTTCCTCGCCGGCAGGCATTATAAAATGATTTTTTTTTTTCCCTTATCGACGTTTTTCTCTCTCCCACCAGGCTTGCGTGAACATGATTGGCTATTACCGGCATATGCTCGTCACCACACGACGCCACGACGGCGCTGATGGGATTCGCAAGCGTCTGTTTTTGCGTGCGCCGACATTTTGGGTGAGTCAATGAAAACGTCACGACGCACGTGTGAAGGTCAATTCCGGTGGTCGCTCAATAAGGAGCGTTATCTTCACTGAAAAGTTCTTTCTCAATTTTATTTTGTCAAGTAGTTGCAAGCTCTTTTCACTGCAGCATCCCAGCAGTGAAGCTTTTTTTTTTTTGAACAACAACTGGTTGTAAAATAATCTGACAAGGTCCTGGAGTTGTTTTATTGAGTGCGGAGCCCCAACCTTTCACTCTCCATGTCATTATGTCAGCACCAGCCAGACAAACAATAAAATGAGCGAGACGCTGCGGCCATCACACCCTCAAGGGTCTTAAAATCCCAATGCCACAAAGGGAGAAAAAAAATAGTCAGTGACACCCCAGCCCCAGCACCCCCACCCCGTCATCCCCTCCCTATCCACTGTCAATTTGCCAGTCAAGTGAAACAATGGAGTCACTCCAGATGAGATGGGTTTTGTGTTCAGGGGCAAATAGCAAAACTGCCATTGCCAAGGTTCATTAAAAAAAGGAATATGCAGTGACTCCGTTTTTTTTACCTCATCTTTTGGTCCCTATTGAGTACAATGCGGATTTTCAATTCTTAATTTGTCATTGAGTATTGCTGCACGTTTGTATGTTGTATGTTTTTAAAAGAATTAAAATGAAATTCTACTCTACTAGGCAGGCCGGTGATGGAGTCGTTAGTGCTCACATTGCAGAGGTCGCGGGTTCTATTCCGGCTCCGACCTTCCTGTGTGGAGTTTGCGTGTTCTCCCAGTGCCTGCGTGGCTTTTCTCCGGGTACTCCAAATGGCACGGCTTGGTTTGCTCATCAGTCTCTCCGCTACGAGACGAACCGAGCCATAATCAGCCGTGCAAAATCAAAGCTCTCTCCTTTTCATTTCCTCCCCGCAATCAGAAAGCCACGTTGTCTCTGCCGCTAAACATAACATTCAATCAGAGGCACTTTTTTATTTTTTATTTTTTCCGCAGTGACCACGCTAGTTGATCCCGCTTCACGAGCACCGCAAATGGATCAAACTAATCAGACCGCCGTCAGCACGACACGTTGTTTTGGCCCTGTCGAAATCATAATTTGCTTTTCGCGGCGCGGGAAGGCGACGGAATTGACGCGCCGTATTGTATCCGCGCGGCGTCTAATATAAGCAATATCCTAAGCCGTGATGTAACGCCGATTCATTGTTTCGGAGTCAATCGCGTCGGCATTTTTCAATTTCCTTCCCTATTCAATCCTGTTATATGGATTTGGATGACAGTAATTATTCGCCGCACTACTTCAATGAGGTGCCGTTGGTTCAGCTGAAGATTAAATTTAACATCTGAAACCCCGAGGAACCGGCACGATTGCCCTGAGATGATTGTCGTTCTTCAAATATGTAAATGGAATGGGTTTTTTTGATCACACAGCGACAATAGTTGGGAAAGAAATCGTCTCTGGACAGGTTTTAAACTTTAAAAAGGCTGCCTCAGGTGGCATGAAAAAATAAAACCACACTTGTAGTTATGCTGCATTGCAGAAAAGCGGCATGACCCCCGACAAGGAAAAGTGCCATCTTTCCTTTTCCACTCCAATCCGTTCCCCAAGTGCGCACTGTTCCAACTTGTTTTTTTTTATTCCACTGGTACCATCACGCTTATCTTTTAATTAATAAGCAGAGTCACTACCCAAAATGACTCCCTATTATTCTTCGGTACCAGAGTGTTTCAAGTACGTTTGGGGAATTGGATTCAACTCACGACATTGCCCGTGGGGGCATTTTCAGAAGACTCTTTATGAAAGGAAGCGCTGTGGTCTCGTCATTAACTTCGTATTAGGACTTGTGAACGCTGGTGCACCTGTTGTTGTTCCCATGGCGACGATGAAAAGGATGACAACATTCCGTCGAAGTTTTGACATGACTGCACATTCCCGTGCATCCATCAAGATGGATGACAATGTTGAGTCTGAGCTTCAATCTAAAAGCGTCGACAAATACGCATGAGCTACTCACGTCTTCCTTGGGGCTAACTAGGACCCGATGGCATATTTATTGTATTTTATTTTTCGGACATTGGACATGAATCAACAGAGCAAAAAGGCATCCGTGTTTGCCGTCTTTCATCTTTGTCCCTCCCGCCTCCTTTCCCAGTGTGTAACTGCTCACCCCTCCCCCTCTGCTTGCCGAGGGTGACCATGGGAGTATTATTTTTAACAGTCTTTGCCGGAGAAAGATTGATCGTGGGAATAAACCTTGATATTTTTACGGCGCCAAGTCAAGACTTTTCGGTTGGAATCGGATGAAAAGTTAACCACGATGTGTGGTGACTGTTTTCAAGGAATGTGAGCATTGCTAGCTTCGCGCAAGCTAATTCAGTGTGGGGGGATTTTGTGTTCATGTGTGAGGACCCCAACGCAGGGAGGAATGGCAGAAATGCAGTATGTTCTCAAAAAAAAAAAAAAATCGATATATTTTCAAAAAATATAACAAAAAGGCAAACGGGACATGTGGATTAATGATGCATTGTAAGAAATCAAAACCGGGATTGGAGAAGATAAGTTTGATCGAAGCGACTCCGGTAGCGTCCGTGGAAAATACACAATTTACTGTGACCGGCGAAGCGCGTTACGGCGCGCATTTCCCAATTCTCTCGCCGCGAAGACGCCAAATTGAATCGAGGGCAGACACGGAATAATGAGGCGGCGCCGAGGCGTTCGGTCAATGAAGCACCGAGCCGTCTATCGGCTGCTCTCCAACCAACGGGGAAGAAGATAACTCGTGCGGAAGTGGGAGAGGAAGTTGGAAGCATACTGAGCGAGGGGATAAGAGGATGCAGCGGGATGGCGGAATCGGAGCCCATTGTCAGGCAGGCGGCGAGCAAAATGAGCTGCGCAATTTGGAAAGTGGCACGACAATAAGCGCCACGCTGCAGTTAAAGCCGATGCAAACCGCCAAAGACTCGCGCTCCGTCGGAGTGGAAAGTACAACCTCGAAATAAGGAATTTTACACGTTCAAGTTTTGTAGCCGGCACACGGCATTTTTTTTGTTTCATGGTTCTCTGAAAAAATACAAATAGTGAACCAATAATTATTTCAACAAATAATAAGGATAGGTTCCCTAAAATAATGTAATAATGTGTAACATTGTGCTTGACTACTACAGTACTGTACTTTGACCACCCCCCACCCCCTCCCGTATTTTCATAAAATCGAATAATTATTTCAACAAATAATAAGGATAGGTTCCCAAAAGTAATGTGTAACATTGTCCTTTACTACTACAGTACTGTACTTTGACCCCCCCCGTATTTTCATGAAATCACATCCCGGTTGACCAAGTTCAAGACGACCTTTTCCGAAGCGATGCTCTTATTTTCCGACTTGCTCCTGTCGCCATGACGTGCTGCAGGCTGTTATTTGCCGCATCGTGCCACTCAGAATGTGACATGAAATTACTCGCAATTCCCCCTTGCACTCTCATCAACTCCACCACAGAAATTCGCGCGCGTGTGTGTGTGTGTGAGTGTGTCTGCCTCCCTCTGCGAAGGACTGAAAAAGAGAAAAGTTATCTTCTCAGGTGAAAAAGATCGACAAAAAGGAAGGGAACGTTCTTTCGGATGCTTCATTGGCAAAGTCATGACGGGCAAGCCTCGCATTGAGCGCTTTTGACAGCGGAGAGAAAATGTTGAGGTGTCACCAACACCGTCGCCCCTCTTAAAAATGTCCGGTGACTTAACTGAATATGACAGTTGGTACATTTGACATCTGAGTAGGGCTGATTTGCTTCCGATTGTTGCCTGGAGGTACTCAGCAATCATGCGAAGAGTCAGCTGAGGTGTGTTAAGCAGAACAAGGTGTTCTCTGCTCGCTTAAATGCTATCAAACAACCAAAATTCTGATATTTGTGGACATGAAACTACTTCTTCTGCCTTCTTGCCATACCGAACAAAATAATCTTGCAATTTCGGCTATGTGAGTGAAAGTAAGAACGAAGTGCTGAGTCCGATGAATTGTTTGTGCTAGCGTGCTAAGTGCTAAATGACATCAGTTTATTTGAACTAGCACTCCTTTTTGAGCGCTATTTTTTTGATAATCGATTGACAATAAATGCGTTGACATGTTGACGAATGTACTTTGAACATTGCTGGTAGTACAAAGTATTGCTTGTGCTTTGCGGTCACCCGTTTTTGCACAAACAAAGAAGACATTCACAGCAACTGCAAAGTGACTCCGTGACTGCAGTAGTCATAGGATACGTCATGTACAAAGGACACATGATATATGGCTGCGCTTATTATTATATTGTCTGTCTACATGTGTTGCTGCACCCTCTGTCTTTAAGTATCCGTTGCACACAACTGTTGATGCTATTTCTTAGCCCGTCTGTGTCGCTTCCCAGTACAACTTTAAAAAAAAAAAAATTCTCCCTCCCGGTCCTAATTTATTCACACACTTTACCACGAGCCGCTCTCGCCTCATCGTTTTCTTGCAAATTCTGTCGTCAAGTGGAAGAGCTGTTAAAAACCCGTGGCGAGCCGGTCCTCTGTGATTCATTACGTGTCGCCACCGGTGATTTATGAATGTGCCGCCTCGTTCGGGCTAATGGTAATGGCAGCCACGTGTCTGCTCATCCCGGCGCATACACAGCTGTCCTATCCGTTTTGCACAGATTCGAGGGGAAAAAAAAATGTGAGTATTATTATGTTGCCTCTCCGTATCTGCTCCCATTGCAGTTTTCTTTAGCGAATGTGTTTTCCATATCGTCAGAGACTTAAAATCGAAATCACGACCAAGTTTCGAATAATTGCCCGGCCCATGTTCGCACTTGTTTTATTTTTGTCAGTTGTCTTGCAGTCCCGGACGGGGCGTCTCTTTGGATCATTTAGCAACCATTGATCTGATCATTAGCACGTTAAGTGCGCTGTCGGTGTTGGCATCTGGCGTGATTGATGAGTGGGGCACTCGGTTTGTACTTTTCATGCGTGGCTTTCATTCGCTCTTTTTTGGAGCTCGTCACCTTGATTACACAGTCAAACAAATACAAAAATGAGTCAAATTCAACTGTCCTGTCTTGTTTAGACAAAGTTTGTTTTTTTTTTTTGTTTTTTTTTAATCCAACCACCACCCAATCAATCCTTGAAACATGAATTTTAAGTACCAATGTTCTTGTCATCCTGGCAAGTTTTTAGATCTATTTTTTTCGGGGGCCATAAAGCACAATCTGTAAAATGTTTTATTCACGGCGGCTAAACTATATGTGAGATGAGCTGAGTGGAAATGAAACCACTGAGGACATGTCAAGCAGTAGGAAAGGGCTGACGTATTGCAGCCCTGTGCACAGTCAGTTTTGAATTGAAACGGTCAAAATGGATGACAATGTTGAGTCGAAAAGTTTTCACAAATGCATGAGCTGCTCATGTCTTCCTAGGGGCTAACTAGGACCTGCTGGCACAGTTTTTTTTTTTTCTCGGACAATGCACATGAATCAATTGAGTAGGAAGTCATCCATGTTTGCAGTCGTTCGTCTTGCACCCTCTGGCCTCCTCTTCCGTGTGTAACTGCTCACCCCTCCCCCTTCTGCTTACCAAAATCATATACATTTATATTAAAATGAAGCGTGTGGCATAATGGATCTGTGAAAGTGAAATGCATCATGGCTTTCCATGATGCATTTCACTGTCACGCAAGCCCATGATATAAGAAAAAAAAATGAAAAAGGACCCCTCAGAGAAAAGTCAAAACAGAATTATGAGGATGCGTTTATGCACAGGCAGTAAACACTTTTCATATTTTACACAGTCTGCAGAAGATACGGAGCGGCTGCATATATTAGTGCGGTCATTATTACAGTGCCCTGAGACAAAGGCTGCATTGTAATTGAATATCATCGAGGCGCTGCCTCAAATTGTCGTTAACAATGACTGCAAATGCAAATGATGCAATCGGGTTCAACTGGCTGCTGAAGTCGCTTCACGGATCGCTGCTGCTGGACAATGGCTTCTCTCTGGCCTCTTTGTTTTTTTTCTCAGAGGTTTAGTGTGATTTCAATGTGTGATTTAAAAAAAAAAAAAAAAGAGGTTCGGTTGAAAACACAGCAACTATTAATGCTAATCATGAGCCCCTCAATGGAGTTTTCCTTTGTGTGTTAGCATTAAGCTAACAGGTGCTTTCTTAGGCCAAAAGTTGTTTTTCGAAACACAATGTGTACCTCTTTTTTATTTATGTTAAATTTGACAATTTCTTCACACAAAATAGTTGGGCCACTCCGAAAGAGTTTCTCTCATTCACAGAAAGCCAATCAAGAATGCCGCCGTGTTATTTGTATCCGGTCTCTCTTCATGTCGCCGAATAATGCCTCAAATGGTGTGAAATCGCTGGGATAAGTCCCTACCTCTTAGGTGGGTTCATGTGAGGGTGTCTGTCTGCCTTCCTGCCTGGGAGCAAAGTCAAGAGTCATTGCAGGATTCTTTCTTCAGCGCGCCGCCTTGCACCGAGCGAATGATACGACTCGCACCGGGAGACTAAAAAGAAAGCGCGGCGGCTTAAAAAAGCAGCGGTGATGAATATAAATCTGCGTCTGTGCGTATTGTGTGACTTGACGAGCTGGTTGAAATCAATCGGTGAATAAATAATCTGGCTCCTCGGCGAGTGCGCCGAGATGTAGGCTTTAAACGCGTGAAAAGATGTATGGCCGCCGACAGTTCATGTCAGGAGGCGTCAGTGGAACCTTGAATAAACTTGTTGGAACAGCGATCCTTGATCTCCAGTTTTAGATTTTAGATTTAAATGTCCAAAGATCGGTCACTCGATTTTTATTAAATATATATGAAAAAAAAATTCTTACATTTCAATCACACTAAATCAATGCTCTCATTAATCAAGCGAATCACTTCAAAATGAAACCGTGGGAACACAAAAAGCCCAAAGACATATAACTTGGACGCGCTTGAAGCGGCTACACATAGTCGAGACTCATCTCCACACACCAAAAAGCATTCACTCATTTTCCATGCGATGCATGCATGCATGTATGTCCCTATTTTTAGCCCGTGCTGCCATCCATTCGGATTGTCGTGCACACGCGTGACTCAAACCGCTCACCCGTTCGTTCGCCGCCTTCCGGAGGCACGCATGAAAAAGTAATGAGAAGCGTCTTTGAGAAAGGCTCCATATGAGTCTTTTGTGAGAAGTTCGGCATGTAGCGCTTGATCTCCAGCTTCATGTTTCTGAGATGGACGATCGCAGTCGGCCAAACTTGCGAACGAAGTCTTCCCGGGCCCGAACTAAAGCCTCCTCGTCAATGTACACAACAGGCCTCCTGGCGGTCACCACGTACTGCACCTTCCTGAGGCTCCAGCCCAGCACGTACATGAGCAGGCCGCACACGGCCGCCGTCGAGCGCCCCACGCCGGCATTACAGTGGACGTATACCGTGTGACCATTCTCGAGGAGACCGTGAAGTAGGAATACAGCCTGGGGAAGCATCCGGATGCGACCTGCGCCGGAGAACGGGAAGAATGTGTCGTTCGCGGTATCGTCCAGTCCTGACGTCATGAAATGACTTTGTTGCTCTTGTGAATTGCTCTTTTTTTGTTGTTGTTTTTTTTAATCAGTTTCGGAGTCCAGTCGTGGTTTGTCTAGGGTCGACCTTCTAGTTCAGGGGTGTCAGACTCATTTTAGTCGCGGGCCAATTTGGAGTTACGTCATCCCTTGGAGGGCCGTTACGACAGTGAAACCGCCAAATTATTACTTGTCCACAAAAAAGTAATAGATTACTCGTTTCATTATTACTTGTCCACAAAAAAGTAATAGATTACTCATTTTGAAATCAGTCAAGTCAGTTATAATAGTTTGTTCAATTATTGTTCAAGTGAGTGTAAACATGGCATCAAAATTATTGCAAAACCTCAACGTTATTTATTACGCATGACAATTTGACATTTCGGGACAGATTTTAGCAAGTTGACACATGATTTGCTTTCGTGGGCCACATCAAATGACGACAGATTTTAGCAAGTTGACACACATGATTTGCTTCGGCGGGCCACATCAAATGACCTGGCGGGCCGGATCTGGCCCCCAGGCCTTGAGTTTGACGCCTGTGTTCTAGTTCATCCCAAAGGTCCGCGCCGCGCTTACCCTCGGTGCTCATGTCGGGCGTGGGGATCCACACGTACGCGAGGCCACAGCGGCTGTACAAATGCATCATGGCGTCGGGCGTCATTGCTTCGCCGAGGTTCCGTCCGCAGCCGTGGGAGTTGTTCATCACGTCCGCCTCTGTCTGGAAGTTCATTACGGCGCTGATGCCAAGGTCGTGCTTCATCTTGATCGTCACGTGTTCCGGCACTCGAGGACAGCTGCCCAGCCAAAGCCTTGGGAGCACCCTGGGAGTCACAAGCAGGGAGTCAATGAGTTTGAAAATGACTTTCCAAGAATAACCCGCCAGACCGAGAGTCATCGTTTATGCCGTAACTATCGCGCGGGTTTCGAAGCATTTTTTTTTTTTTTTTAATTGGGGTTTTCCAGTACACAGGAAAGTCCAAATTTAGATTTCAGCATTTCCAGTGCCAAATTCTCCTCCAGGCCCTCGTCTGTTATATTCATCCATACAGGAAAACATTTTGTGGCTTTATTTGCCAGACAAATTATTGTGCTCTGGTTGCCTAGTAACCTTGAGCGATCCTTTTGTCCAAATGTAAAATGGTTTCAATGGACTCGCGAGGATTTCTCCGGTGAGCGGCTAAGAGGAGTAAAATTATATTAAAATGCTGTGTCGGCCGGGCCGTTTTGTTTGTTAATCTGTCACATTCAATTTTGCTTGGCGAAAGGATTGGCACTCTCCGGCGGACTATCTTGGGTCACCTGGAGAAATGCATGGCATTCTGACCAGCCACGCTAAAGTAGAAGTTGGTGGTGTGCTTCATCTCGTCCGTGTGGCCCGTCTCTTCGATCCAGTGGCCGATCGGGTGGCAATAGACGCCGTCCACCACGTTGTCCTCGTCAAAGGTGCACGTTCTGTCGTGGTGCGGCCCGTTGCCTGCGGACAATGGAAATATTATAAGGGGGTTGTTGTTTTTTTTTTTTCCTCCATCGCAAAGTTGCGAGACATTTTTATTGAAGTTTAGAATAGTCGTGTACATGCCTTAGTATAGATCAATAAGGTAGGGGAAACCCTGTGCGAGGTTATATTCATTGACCAAAATTTATTGAACAAAATGACGAGCAAATTAATCTTAGGTATTTGCTGCCATCGTGTGGTTAAATGGTAGAATTACACCAAACCAAGTACCCCAAAAAACGGTTGTTTTTTTAATGATTTGTTGATGATCGTTTAAAAAAATACACACATTGGACGTATAATACAAATGTGGTATACACGGAAGCTTATTTTGCATGTGTTATACCTTCCCAAACGTAACGGCCGTCCGTTCTTCGGATGAACTTGAACCACAGCGTGTCCTTAAACGGCTCCCGCAGCCGCACGTCGCCCAGCCACAGACACGGCTCCAGGGTCGACACCGAGCTCCGACAGGCTCTCATCCGAACCGCTTTGCTCGGATCCCACTGACCCATTTCTTCGCGCGAGCCCAAAATAAACAACTCGACGTGCGGCGAGTCCGCAGTGAGAATGACGCCGAATCGGAACAATATGCCGGGCATGGACATGTTCTCGTTTAAAACGGAGTCGTGGTTCGGCCCGCAGCTCTTCAAATAAACTATAAATATATTTAGAAGCGTGTTGACGGAAGTAAAGATGGGCTAAAATAAAGTAAGAAGCGCCGAACAGTAGCGCGCCAACTATTGGTGGCATTTGCAAATACACCAGTCGGGACTCAGTTTTTTTTTCGATCGAGTGATTAATTCGCATACCACTAAATCAGTGCTCATACGGCATTTTTCAAACCTCAAGAAGACTCACAAGCCAAGAGATTCGAGCAATCCACCTTTATTTGAAACTTTTAGACCCACAACCCATACTTTTAGATGATATGACAACTCATTACACGTGTGTAAAGGTTAAGAAGACTAAACCGGGGTCAGCAGGGTTTTCCTGTGACCCAATAGTGACTTAAAGCTAAAGCAGAGAAGCAGAACCGGTAATATGTTGCACGTAGCTTGCAATCCGTCACAATACCACCCAAATCACTCTTTTTCGAAAGCCGTTTGCGCATCTACAATATTCCATATGCGGCTGTCCACGTCCAGGAACTCTTTGTCCTCGTCAAAAAGACATTTCAATGCACGAGTAGAACAATGGTTGATGACATGAAAATGATGCTGAATATCATTTGCGTGGACTATTCTAAGAAAAAAATATCATTTGCATCATTTTGAATGCAAGAATATATTATTATTATTATATGTATTATTATTTTTAAATTTGTACATATATTATAAATGTATTATTGAATAAAATATAATATAAATAGTTAGATATAATAAAAATATGAATAATTACTGTTATTATTGTATAAATAATTACAAATATATATTTGTCTTTTTTTTAATGCAGTTCAGTTTCGCTGCCCTTATTTTTAGCTGTGTTTGTTTTCAATGCACTGCATGTTTGCACTGGAGTTGAGAGGAAACCCCATTGTGCTCATTCTTATTTAATGATACTTGCGTCAATTTGACTCGGGTCCAAATATGTGTACGGCACAACTAGCTTAGCGTTTCTGGCCTTAATGTCTGCACTAAGGCTGGACAACTCTGCTTGAAACTTCATCATCATCATCTTGACTTCAGGCTCTTGGAATTGTTCCTCAGGGTAGGAACCCAGCAGCACCTGCGAGCGTCGTAAAACAGAGAGACACTTGAACTTGTTTCATAAACTTGAAATATGGCCAAATTGAGTTTACTTTGACAAGTTAAAAATTATTGGGAATTTGACACACAGCAGAGTGTGGTCTACCAAATTTCAATGATTAAAAAAAAATAAATCAAGTACATAAATTGAGACTTCACTTTTGTACTATGTGACAATGAGGCACTCGAAAACCATTTTCACGCTACATCCCACCCCAAAAAGGAGTGCGCCACAGCATTTGCACCTTTGCAGGAATACTCCATTATGACGCTCAACTTACAGAATCGCTGTAGTCCTGTGTCAGCACAAAAAGAACGGTTGCCGTGATGACCGTCTCGCCAACGGTTGGGAGCGTCTCCAAAAGCGTCTTCATGCTGGACTGTCCTTTGGCGGTTGGAGACGGCTTGCGCAACAGTAAGGAACCGTTGGGGGCAAACGTCTGGTAGTCAAACTAAAAAAAAAAAAATAAAAAAAAAAGAAAGCAACCATTTTAGCTCATAGATTGTCATCTTAGATTGCGGTTTAGTTCCAAAACTCGTCTCGAGAAGAACAAACCTGTTGCTACATACCCTACCAAAAAAAAACTCGGTAACGTAACGGGAGCTTTCGTTTCACCTCTGGATTATTGATGGCGGCATGTTGAGCTGAAACAGTGAAGATCACCATGGTGATAAACTTGACTACTTCCTCAACAGTTTTGAACGTCTCCGGACATCCTGTCACCCAAAAAAAAAAAAAAAAAAAAAAGACATCTCTATTCACATTGTCTTGACAAATTAAATGTGGTTTAACCCTTTCATTCAGCCTACAACATGATAAGATGGATCCACTGTCGTCACCGCTGTCCCCAAAAGGGTTCATACCTGAGGATTTACTCTCTAAAAAGCATCGAGTGAATATCTCGTGGATCCATCCTTGTAGTTCTGAGTCTTTGACCACCTCGTTGTCGGAACGATAAAAGTGTCCAACCATCGCCTTCACAAATCTGCCAAGTAAGAGAAATTCACAGTCAGTTTCTTGGGTAGCTTGAATCACTGTACATCGATGACAAAAAAAAACAACCGGTGGATGATGTCCCATATTTTAAGGCCGTCATCTCTGTAGTAGAAGTCGGGGATGGACTCGAGTCCTCGACTGCGAATGTCTTCCGGGAAACACAGTGAGCTGTATGTGAGTTCGGATTGGGCTCTCGTCATGAGCTCGATCGTGCCGTCAACTCCGAGTGAACTCTAGTCACGTACAGTATGAGACACACGTGTCAGGCCGGAGTCAGACGTGAAGAAACGAGAACGCAAATCACTCGTGGGTACATTGATTAGCCAGGCAAATGACAAATTCTTACCAATGCAAATGACCCTTTAGGCCCCAGCAGAATTTCACGAGCTTGAGCGTTGATGTGTAGAATCCATCGAAAGTGTGAGATAAGCAACTATGCGGAGAAGGAAGAATGCCCCCAAATCATGTTCCAAAGAGAATGAATTTGCATTTGACTCATAAAAGGCTACCGAGACCCTGTCATGTTGACAGAGAGAATTTCCAGCAGACCACATTGAGACTACCCAACCATGCTAAAAGCAAACACAAAACAAAAAAAAAAAACAACATATATCAGCGTGGTTTTGTTGGGGTTAAAATGGGAGCCGGCAACCTGCGGCTCCAGAGCCGCATGGGGCTCTTTAGTGCCGCCCGAGTGGCTTTTTCAAAAATGGAAGAAAATGGAAGAAAATGGGGGAGGGAAATATATATATATATGCGACAGACGTTTCTATTTGCAGGACGGGATGCCAGTCAGGTGGTATTTGTATTTGGTCCAATATGGCTCTTTCAACATTTTGGGTTGCCACGCCCTGGTTTAAACCAATGTCAGCTTTACCTTGTAAATGGGATGAATTACGGGAACGTTGCGAAGAAGGCTCATAGCCCAGGACTCGGAGATCAAGTGAGTGTTCTTAAGGTGGCTGATTGCCTGGTGCGTTATCATATTCGCATTTTTAATGAATATCTTGGCTAGGAGCCAATCCGTCTCGGAATCACTCGGCAGGAAAATCGGGTTGTCCTCTGAGGGTTGTTGATGCACCTGCCACAAAGTTTGTGGGAAAATATTTCAACAACCGATTCGTCAACCATTGAGCGATGCACTGTCAAGTACCTGGATTGCGATCGGCATCAGTTTTTGCTCAGGGTTCAGGTACAACAAACAGAGGGGAGCAGGCACTTGCAGTTTTTCCCCGTGATAGATTTTCCCGGGTATTCCACTCAGAACCTTCTGGTCACAGAGGAATATGTTCCCTTTCTGTGCGACAGGGAGACCTCGCATAGCAATTCGTGTTTTGGGATGGAAACTGGCATCATGAATGTAAGTAGCGCGTCGCATTTACCTTCATTTCATTGTCCAGAGTGCTTCCGTTCTCCAGGAAGGGCTTCACCATTTCCTCGGTGACGGGGAAATTTGGAGGAAGTTCCGAACAGCGTTTGATCAAACAGGGGTTCACGCCGTTCAGGAACTGGTACCCGTAAAAGTCGTCGTCCTTCCAGTGGTCGGAAACGTACTCTGGAAGAATATGAAATGAAGGGAATATGACAACGAGTGTTCAAATGTTGCTGTTGTTGGCGTGTGAAAAAACTTTCTCTTCCCGTTATCTCGGAACAGACGACAGATTAGATGGGAGCGACGGGGGCGGGGCTTAACCGACCTGATATTTGCGTGCTTCTGATCCAGAAGATATTTTTGATGTCTTCAATGCTTTGCCAACTTTCCTCCGATCGAAGCATCCCCTTCAGCAAGAGTTCGAAGAGCCTGAAGTGCAGCGGCATTCAAATGTTACCCCCGACTCCTCAGAAGGAAGCGCCACCGAGGTGGGACACAATGTTCAAAAAAATCAAAAACAAACATACCCGGTAAACAAGGCCTTCTTTGACTCAATGAGTCGAGACGGCGACATGCGGATTTCAGCGGGGACGTTCAATGTTGTGAAATTGCTGCGGTGGGGAAGCTCCCCGTTGTACGAGGCCCATCTAGAAAGAGAAGCGTCATATTTTGAACGCTTTCGGGGACAGCGGTTACTACGGCGGACCGCTTATCGGGTTCTCGGGTGACAGCTTGCATGAAAGGGTTAAACCATATTTAAAATGTCTTCTTGCTTGCATCTTTTGGCGAATCTTACTGGAAGATGCCCTTTTTTGACGCCAGCTCGTTTTTGCGGTGCTCAATCAACAACGGATGGTCGTCTTCAAAAAGCTTCATAGCTGATGGGGAGAAAAAAAATTTTAAAAGCCACGTTCAATGTGTAGCGACAATGAAAGAAACTGCTCTGATATTTTCAATGGGAATATAAACCGGACCTTTTCCTCCTCTCAATTCCACGATGTCATGATTGGAAAGCCATCGGTAACAGGGGAAAAGAAGAGTCTCTCCCTCTGGGGTGGTCACGGTGATTTTAGTGCAGAACAGATCATTTTCCGGGAGGAGAAACCGTGGGCGTTTCTCGACTTTCACCAGGAGAAGCTTCCCCAGAGAGGAACTGGTTTTGATGGTGTACGTCTCAGTCTAGAATTAAAGACATCCGGGCAAAAAAAAAAAAGAGTTCCAGAAAGTGCTTTTGGTAAATGAAAGAAATCGGAAAAGGACATTTCTGGCCTATCGGGTGTCGTCATCAATGCATAAATATCGACGCGTGGACTTCTCACGCGTTTGCCGCCATTCAACTCACCGTCTCGGTCATAAAGTCGACAGCCCAGTGGTTCAATTGGCTTTTCTCGCTCTGGCCTTCACTTCCGAGCAAGGTGATGAGTATGTGGTCAAAAGTTGCGGCGAAGGACCTCCCTCCCGTCGTTACCTTCAGCTGGTACTCCGCCATGCTCACTCAGTCGTCGCAATCCCTGAAATACCTAAAAATCCCCGACTCAATGCGTTGAAGTCTGCTGCTGATGGCGATGATCCCTTTTTAACCCCCCCACCCCACCCCCTTGCAAATGAGCAACAATATGCAAAAATCGACTGAATATAAAGATGCAAATATCAAGCAAAATGCATGCAGATGGAATGAAAAACTAAATCGAGTCACGACTTACCAATGTTCCCGACGAGTGGCAATCTTCCACCGAGTCTCGCCCCAAAAGTCTCGAAACTGTGAACCGTCAATCAAATTCCTTTATTCTTGCTGTCAAGCATTTGGTTGTTGACCCCAAACGCTGAATATGAGCCGAGAGGGCAACATGTCGCGGCGGCATCGCCGTTGCTCCCCTCACATATTCAGCTTTTGATATCCGACACTTTAAATGGAGTTCCTGTTAAGCTATCGTCCATTTGAGCGCGTGAGTAAAGCTGAAACAGCGACATGTTGCACAAAGTTCAGATGAGGCGGAACCAACCGTTTTGCAGCCATTGGCTTCTTTTTGATGACCCTTCCCAGGACCTGGTTGACTGACAAATTACTTGCTCAGTGTACAGTATGCGTGTCGTGACCTTTTCTATTGTATGAGTGGCAACAAGCTGCTGCCCTGGTAAAGTCTTTCAGCGACAGTGGACAGCTTATGTAATCAGGTTACACGTTGCATGAAAGGGTTCATGATGCAACTACTGCTGCTATCGTGTGGAAGAGCCTTTAATGTTTTTTTCCTATCACGAGATGTCCCAGGCATGGAGAGATTAACAAAGATCCACTATTTGGAGGAAAGAAAATCATTTTCAGACCCTGAAGTGAAACTGCCAACACCCACTGGCATAGATTTCGCAAGACATTTCGGTCCATATTATTGCAGGTTGAGAAAGGGTAAGTTTGTGGTCATCTGTGTCTTGTGTACTGCCATCAGTAAGAACAAAGAATGGTTAAAAAAAAAAAAGCATTCAGATTAGATTTGGAAGATTGGATAGAAGATTGTTTATTTGTCACCCATTAAAGAAAAAAAGAGGCTTTATTTACTTAATAATGCTGCTGTCAATTTGACTGGGGTCCAAATATGTGTACGGCACGCCAAGCTTAGAGTTTCTGGCCTTGATGTCGTCACTGAGGCTCGATAACCCCGCTTGAAACCCCTCCATCATCTGCTTGATTTCGGGCTCTTGGAATCGTTCGTCGGGATACGAACCCAAGAGTACCTGCCGGTATTGCAGAAACAGACACAGGCGCTTGAGGTTCCGAAAATACTCGAAACCAGAGATCACGGAAGAGCCTGAGACGTTAACGGCGCTCAACTTACGGTATCGGAGTAGTTCAGTGCGAGCACGTATAGAATGGTCGCCGTCATGACCGTCTCGCCAATGTTTGGGAGCGTCTCCAAAATGGTCTTCATGCTGGACTGTCCTTTGGCGGTTGGAGATCGCTTGCGCAACAGTAAGGAACCGTTGGGGACAAACGTCTGGTAGTCAAACTAAAATATCAAAAAAAAACACTTTAGGTTTGCTTTTGCAAGAGGTTTCCTCTGTAGATCCCGAAAGACTTTTTGAATCTGATTTTAACCGTTTCACCTGTCCGTTATTGACAGCAGCATGCTGAACGGAAACCGTGAAGATCACCATGGTGATGAACTTGACCACTTCTTCAACGCAATGGAAGGCCTCTGGACATCCTGTCAGAAAAACCAACAAACCAAAAATAAATATAGCTGCTATGCACAAATATTGTGTGGGCAAATTCAATGGCGTTTAATACCTAAGCGTTTACTCCCTAAAAAGCAGTGAGTGAATATCTCGTGGATCCATCCTTGCAGCTCCGAGTCTTTGACTACTTCGTCGTTTGAACGATAGAAGTGTCCCACCACAGAGTTCACAAATCTGCCAAGTAAAAACAATCTCTCCTTTCGGTGGCTTCAAACCATTTATGTCATTCACTTATGATGGTGAAGGAAAACCAAAAATTAACCTGTGGATGATATCCCATAGTTTCAGTCCATCATCTCTGTAGTAGAAGTCGGGGATGGACTCAAGTCCTCGAGCGCGAATGTCGTCCGGTATACAGAGCGAGCTGTATGTCAGCTCATCTTGTGCCCGCCTCATGAGCTCTATCGTCCCATCGAGTCCAAGTGAACTCTAGTCACGTACAGTATAAAACACGCAGGGCTTGGTGTGAGACGTGGAAGAACCAGAAAGCAAATTAACTGCGGTACAGTCATTAGTCTGACATGATACACTCGCACCATTTTAAACGATCCAGAAGGTCCCAACAGGGTTTCACGGGCCAGAGCATTGACGTGTAGAATCCACCGGAAGTGTGGGATCAGCAACTACAGAGAAAGGGAAGAATCGCCCCGTTATTGTCGAAAAGTTAATGTTCATTTGGGTGTACGGTGGTACCTCTACTTATGAAATTAATTGGTTCGGGAAGAAATCTCTTCACTAGAACATTTTGTAAGTCGAGACGCGTTTTCCATGTAAATGCCCTAATCCGTTCCAAGCCCTCCCCAATTTGGGCCATGTTCTCTCTCTGAAGTGATTTTTTACCTTGTAAATGGGATGAATGAGGGGGAAGTTGCGAAAAAGGCTCATGGCCCAGGACTCGGAGATCAAGTGAGTGTTCTTAAGGTGGGAGATTGCCTGGTGAGTCATCATATCCGCATTTTTGACCATTATCTTGGCTAGGAGCCAGTCTGTCTCAGAGTCACTGGGCAGGAAAATCGGGTTGTCCTCCGAGGGTTGTTGATGCACCTATCAAAACATCGGAGAGCAAAACTGATCGGAAAACAATCGACAATCGGTTGTCAACTGTGAAATACCTGTATTGCAATCGGTATGAGTTTTTTCTCAGGGTTCAGGTACAATAGACAGAGAGGCGCAGGCAGTGGCAGACGTTCGCCGTGATAGAGCCTCCCCGGTATTCCGCTCAAAATCTTCTGGTCATAGAGGAACATATTCCCTCTCTGTGTGACAACGAAGGTGATGAAATGGAATGTCCGCTGGGCATCGTCAAAGTACGAAGCGCTCCGTCGATACCTTGAATTCGTTGTGCAGGGGCATACCGATCTCCAGGTATGGCTTCACCATTTCCTCGGTGACGGGGAAATTTGGAGGAAGCTCATAACAGCGTTTGATCAAATGGGGGTTAACGCCATTCAAGAACTGGTACCCATAAAAGTCATCGTCTTTCCAGTGCTCAAAAAGGTACTCTGAAGGGGCAGGAAATGAAGACATCAGCAAATCTTTAGACGAGACACTTGGAATACATTTAATAAGCGCTTCACCTTGACCCTACCTGAGATTTCGGACTTCCTGTCGTCAAAGATCGTCTTCATGTCTTCAATCGTTTGCCAGCTTTCTTCAGATCCAAGCATCCCCTTAAATTTGAGTTCCTCAGTGCTGAAGGATTGAAACGTTTTCACTGACAGCTTCTAACTTCACATCAAAAAGTCGGGACGTCGTGCTAAATCGTTCCAAAGTTACCCTGAAAAGAAGGCGGACCGAGATTCTTGAACTCTGGACTTGGACATGCGGATTTCGGCAGGGATGCTTGATGTACTAAACTGGCTGTGGTAAGGTAGTCCTTTATCCATCGAGGCCCATCTAGCGGAGGATAGCGTCGCGTTTTAGACCGCGCTGAAAAGTCTGCAGGCTTGCGTCATTTGGAAGAACTTACTGAAAGTTGCTCTTTTTCGATGCTAGTTCTTTTTTGCGGTGCTCAATCAACAATGGGTGCTGCGGATTTCGGCAGGGATGCTTGATGTACTAAACTGGCTGTGGTAAGGTAGTCCTTTATCCATCGAGGCCCATCTAGCGGAGGATAGCGTCGCGTTTTAGACCGCGCTGAAAAGTCTGCAGGCTTGCGTCATTTGGAAGAACTTACTGAAAGTTGCTCTTTTTCGATGCTAGTTCTTTTTTGCGGTGCTCAATCAACAATGGGTGCTCATCTTCAAAAGCCTTCATGGCTTTAAAAAAAAAAGTTCAAATATTTTACTCCGTGAATTCAGAAAAAAATGGATCATGAGTTTTGATGGAATTATCAACCAAACCTTTTCCTCCTCGCAGCTCCACCACCTCGTCATTGGAGAGCCACTGGTAACACGGGAAAAGCAACGTCTCTCCCTCCGGGGTGGTCACGGCGATTTTCGAGCAGAACCACTCGTCGTCCTTGCGCCAAAACCGCGGGTCTTTCTCGATCTTCAGCAGCAGAAGTTTCCCCAGAGGGGCGCCGGTTTTGACGGTGTACGTCTCGCTCTAGAATTTAAGACATGCGGGCGAAAAATAGATCGAAAATGTATCGCGTTTCGGATCGTCTCACTCACCGTCCCGGTTTTAAAGTCAATGCCCCAGTTATCCAAGTCGGTTCGCTCGCTCTGTCCTTCGCTGCCGAGCAAGGTGACCAAGATGTGGTCAAATGTACCGGCGCATTCCCTCCCGCCGGTCGTTACTTCCAGCTTGTACTCGGCCATGGTCGCTCCGTAGCAACTTATTGAAAGGATGTTTTCCCAACCCGACCTCTAAATGTGCTCAGGTGGTTTTTCCAGAGTTTCCAGTCGTCTTCTGAACCTGGCAGAACCTTTTTAGGGTCTTCCTGCAAAGGACTAAGGGCGTCTATGTGAGGATTCGGTTCTAATGTCGAAAGGTGAGAGAGTACGTGCCCTCAAAACAAGCAACGACTGGAATCACATTTCAGCAAAATTGGAGTTGCCACATACCAAAAGCCCTCAACGACCTGCAATTAGCCCTCCGGGGGATAGTTAGCGGTACATGACTAACTTGTTCAACATGTTTGAGCGTACATCGGCGAGCTGGAGCTGATTTGTGGTTTGGGCGCAGACTGATGTCCTTAACTACCCGTCAAGTGCGCAAACTCTGTCTCCCTTATATGGGCGTGTTTGACTGCCACAGGTTCTTGTACATCGCATCCATAGTGTGTTGGCTAAAGTATATTTTACTCCTCTGCGAATTCTGACGTTTGGTGATTGTGAGTCTCCAAGCGTGCAACGTCTTTCTCGGCCGAGTTTCGGCAAACAAAAAGACAGCAGAATGCATGATTAACAGACATGGAGACTTTATTGACCAGCCGTAGCAAAGACCAACTCTTCCCGGCGACGTCTGTTAAATCGATACGCTGTTTTCGATTTCTTTGGGGTTCAAGTAAGGGTAGGGTAGTTGAAGCTCCTCGTTCCTCTTCACGATGGCGTCGCTGATTGTGGACAGTTCTGCTTGAAAATCCTCAATCATCCTCAAGACGGCAGGCTCACTAAAACGTTGAGGATAGTGACCCAGAGAGACCTGGGCGAGACAAACAAAAGACACGTTTAAGGTCTGACGAAAACCCAACGTGGTTGTCTTTCTTCAAGAACCATGGCGATGGACTTACAAAGTCATCATACTTCTCGCTGAGGAACCAATGAAGAGACATGGCGAGCGAGCCAAAGGATTTGTCGGGCAGAGTCGTCAGTATGTCCTCCATGGTAGTATTTCCCTTGGCAGTGGGCGGAGCCAGATGGAGTAACAACGGACCATTGGGGATCCAAGTTAGATAATCCATCTATAGGGAACAAAGAAAATGTCAAGTTTGGGACAGAGCTAATCTAACTTCCATCTTTTGGTCTTCACCTGCCCCGAGTTCAACGACGCGTGTCGCGCCGACACGGTGAAGATCAACATTGTGACATACTTGATCAGCTCCTCCACATTTTGAAGGCTTGACGGAAAACCTGCAAAAGATCCACCGACACCCGTAAGTAGTCCACTTTTTTTGACTGCCTTTCCCTCGATCGCAAACCAAATTTTAATCATGAGATTGATACCACTCGTCGTCCTTGCGCCAAAACCGCGGGTCTTTCTCGATCTTCAGCAGCAGAAGTTTCCCCAGAGGGGCGCCGGTTTTGACGGTGTACGTCTCGCTCTAGAATTTAAGACATGCGGGCGAAAAATAGATCGAAAATGTATCGCGTTTCGGATCGTCTCACTCACCGTCCCGGTTTTAAAGTCAATGCCCCAGTTATCCAAGTCGGTTCGCTCGCTCTGTCCTTCGCTGCCGAGCAAGGTGACCAAGATGTGGTCAAATGTACCGGCGCATTCCCTCCCGCCGGTCGTTACTTCCAGCTTGTACTCGGCCATGGTCGCTCCGTAGCAACTTATTGAAAGGATGTTTTCCCAACCCGACCTCTAAATGTGCTCAGGTGGTTTTTCCAGAGTTTCCAGTCGTCTTCTGAACCTGGCAGAACCTTTTTAGGGTCTTCCTGCAAAGGACTAAGGGCGTCTATGTGAGGATTCGGTTCTAATGTCGAAAGGTGAGAGAGTACGTGCCCTCAAAACAAGCAACGACTGGAATCACATTTCAGCAAAATTGGAGTTGCCACATACCAAAAGCCCTCAACGACCTGCAATTAGCCCTCCGGGGGATAGTTAGCGGTACATGACTAACTTGTTCAACATGTTTGAGCGTACATCGGCGAGCTGGAGCTGATTTGTGGTTTGGGCGCAGACTGATGTCCTTAACTACCCGTCAAGTGCGCAAACTCTGTCTCCCTTATATGGGCGTGTTTGACTGCCACAGGTTCTTGTACATCGCATCCATAGTGTGTTGGCTAAAGTATATTTTACTCCTCTGCGAATTCTGACGTTTGGTGATTGTGAGTCTCCAAGCGTGCAACGTCTTTCTCGGCCGAGTTTCGGCAAACAAAAAGACAGCAGAATGCATGATTAACAGACATGGAGACTTTATTGACCAGCCGTAGCAAAGACCAACTCTTCCCGGCGACGTCTGTTAAATCGATACGCTGTTTTCGATTTCTTTGGGGTTCAAGTAAGGGTAGGGTAGTTGAAGCTCCTCGTTCCTCTTCACGATGGCGTCGCTGATTGTGGACAGTTCTGCTTGAAAATCCTCAATCATCCTCAAGACGGCAGGCTCACTAAAACGTTGAGGATAGTGACCCAGAGAGACCTGGGCGAGACAAACAAAAGACACGTTTAAGGTCTGACGAAAACCCAACGTGGTTGTCTTTCTTCAAGAACCATGGCGATGGACTTACAAAGTCATCATACTTCTCGCTGAGGAACCAATGAAGAGACATGGCGAGCGAGCCAAAGGATTTGTCGGGCAGAGTCGTCAGTATGTCCTCCATGGTAGTATTTCCCTTGGCAGTGGGCGGAGCCAGATGGAGTAACAACGGACCATTGGGGATCCAAGTTAGATAATCCATCTATAGGGAACAAAGAAAATGTCAAGTTTGGGACAGAGCTAATCTAACTTCCATCTTTTGGTCTTCACCTGCCCCGAGTTCAACGACGCGTGTCGCGCCGACACGGTGAAGATCAACATTGTGACATACTTGATCAGCTCCTCCACATTTTGAAGGCTTGACGGAAAACCTGCAAAAGATCCACCGACACCCGCAAGTAGTCCACTTTTTTGACTGCCTTTCCCTCGATTGCAAAACAAATTTTAATCATGAGATTGACGCAATACCTGAAGCGGCGTTCCCCAGGAACCCATAGTTGAAGATCTCATCGACCCATTGCTGAAGCTCCGAATCCGCAGACACTTCACTGTCCAGCGGATAATAGTACGCCACCACTGCCGTGACAAAACTGGGCGAGGAAGTGCGACGAAATGAGAAAGTACCAAGACGTGCAATGTCCAAAATGGCTCCATAGAGTCTTTTTGATCCACGACGTTGAGCAGCAAGCAAGAAGCGGAACTCACCTGTGAATGACATTCCACATCCTCAACGCATCATCTCTGTAATAAAAGTTCAGGACGGACTCCAGACCTCTGGCAGCGATGTCATCCGGAGCGCAGAGTGACGCGTAGCTCAACTGGACAAGCGCCCTTCTCATGAGCGGCACTTGTCCTTCCGCAGAAATGGACGACTTGAATGAAAATAAGACAGCGATTGGTCGATCGCTTGTTCCAAGGAGACGTTGCTAATCAAACACCAAAGAAAATTTTCCCCACATACGTTGTCGAAGAATCTCCCCGGCCCGTAGAGAAGAGCGCGTGCGACCGTGTTTACAAAGAGAGTGCTTCGATGATGCGGGATCAAGAGCTGGAAGACATTTGACATCAGCGGCATCCGTCGCCCGTCCCTCGGAAATCACTTTGTCCTCGCCGCCTTGCGTTTACCTTGTGCAGCGGGTGGATCATGGGCAGGTTGCGAAGCGTCGCCATTGCAAAAACCTCCGCGACTAAATGCGTGTTGTGCAAATGGCTGACGAGCAAGCCATGCAAGGTGTCGACGTGTCTCACGTGCAGTTTCGCCAGCAGCCAGTCCGCTTCGGAATCGCTGGGCAGAAAAATCGGATTGTCCTGGGAGGGCTGCTGGCCAAGCTGTGGGAGGGAGAGGATTTTTTTTTTTTTTTATGCTTAAAAAGCCAATTTGATTATATATGCAGCCAATTAAGGAAAATAAAGCAGACCTGAATGGCGAGGGGGCGTAATTTCTTTTCATTAGTCATGTAAAGTAGGCAGAGGGCAGCAGTCAGAGGAACCCGTTTACCATCCAAAACAGTTGTTGGCAGACCTTCCATGATTTTGTAGTCAACAATAAATATGTTGCCAATCTGGAAAAGACAGGAGGATAAATGCTACTTGGGGATCGTAAGTCATGCCACGACTGATTGGTTGGTTCGCTACCTCCATCTCTTTGGTCAGAGTGGTCCCCTTGGCCAAAAAGGGCTTCACCATTTCATCTGTGACTGGGAAGTTGGGCGGCAGCTTCGAGCAGCGTCGGATCATGTAAGGGTTGACGCCGTTGAGGAACTGGTAGGCAAAAAAGTCGTCGTTCTTCCAGAGCTGAGACACTCTTTCTGGAGAGAGTTCATACATTTATTTGATTTTTTTATTTGTTTTTTTTTCTGTGAAGGCAATACCTGCATGGGTTGATTTTGTCAACCAGGACACATTCTTCATGTCCTCAAAGTTCTCCCAGCGTGCCGTACTATGCAGTATGCCCGTCTCTGCGAGTGCATCCCTTTTGGGTAAGTTACGTGAAAATTATTAGCATTCAAGGTGTCCCCACATGAATTTGAGACACAGAAAAGTTCATCCACTCACACTAACTTTCGCCTATACGCAGAATGCTTGGCTTTGGAGAATGAGAAGCGGTCTTCTGCTGGGAGGGAATTTGGCTCTTTGATGTTTAAGACAAAAGCCATTCCTTCAGCGTACTCATCCCATCTGATGGCACAAAAAAAATAAAATTAAAAAAAAAGTCAACACCGTTCAACACGCTGACTAAAAGTAGGGCTCGCTCACTCGTAGGTCAACTTCTGTTGGACCAATTCCCTTTTTCGTTGGTCTTGGAGTCGTGGATAGAAGTCCTCAAACGCTTTTGTGGCTGCCAGAGATAAGAGACATTTTGCAAAAACAAAATTTATCACAGCCATTCAATTGAAAAGAGTACCAGACGCGCCCTCTGCTGGCCGCAAGAAGACTGCACTTATTGGGGAGGACAAAAAAAAACGGGCCGAGCATCTATTAAAAGTCGTTTCACAACCAGTGCCATGTGTAAACAACCTAGAATTCGAAGGTTTAAAATTTTATGATATTTGATGGAGTACGCTAACCTCTTCCTCCTCTCAAAAGCACAAGGTCACCCCTGGACAGCCACTTGTAGCAGGGGAAGAATACGTCGTCGTCCTCAGGCGTCCTCACCGCGATCGTGGAGCAAAACCAAGGCTTAGCTTCAGATTCGTGGAAAGGATCTTTCTCCACTTGGAGCAGGAGAAGGAATCCCAACGTGAACGCAGACGTCACCGAGAACGTTCCCACCTGCAGGTCAGAAACAGTGAACCCCTGTATATTTGATTATTATTTTTTTTTTTTTTGGGGGGGGGACCCATCTACTGTTTTGTTTATGCAAAAAGTCACAAGACTTCGGTAACGACAAGAAGCGATAAGAATCTATTGAAATGAGTCGAAGCGCTTTTGACAAAATTAGTCCTTTGCTGCCGCCCTGTGGCAACCATATGAACTGCAAATGTCTTGTGACCTTTATAGTTGAACGAATTTGACCTTTACACTTTTGAACGCGCATGCCAAACTGTTCAATCTTTCAGTTCAACTAATTGATTGTTCACCGACGTGCATTCAAAAATTTCAGGAGGTCAAATAAGGTTCACCTGTAAAGTGTATTTTTAGGTTCATCCTGAAGCCAAAATGTCTCCTCACTCTTTTGAGAGCAGGTTGCGGTATGACGCAAAGTACCTTTTCGGTTTCATTCCCCGGGCCGACGCCGATCAACTGCGTGCGGTTGGACCGGCCCTGCGCACCCACCAGAGTGACATAGACGTTGTCAAAAGCGCCGGCGTGCAACACGTCACCCGTTGTCACGGTCAGCGGGTACTCCGCCATTTTGCTAAGATAGAGATCAATACACCCTGCAAGTAAAACAACTTTTTTTGGGTCGGCCGCCACACGGCTCTGCTCCTCATCACACGCGGGTGCAATCGGTTCTGCGCGAGTAAACAGATGGGGACACGGAAGCTTTTAAGTGCAATGCCTGATCCAGCCCATAATAAGCAGATCCAGGTGTGCGCCATTGACTCAATGAGTGAGGTCTTTCCTGACCGAAAGTTACACATAAGTTCAGGGAAGAGATTTAGTTGCAGTTGCAGTGACAGGTGAGTTAAGCACGCCAAAAAATATTTAATTTTATGGAAAAAAAAAAAGGTATTGTGAATTTGTGGTCTAACCATGTCGACCAAATGAGATCGCCCACAATGTGAAAAAGTAGATTTATTTGACTCAACTGACCATGAATGCGATACAAATGCAGTTGCTGCAATCATTCTGAAAACTAAATCACAACACGGCCCACATGGGGTAACATTCAATCGGTGAGACCAACATTCGTCGCACACAGTACTGTCAACCAACATCAACGATAAACAGATTTACTTGCGCCATGCGTCACACGGAACTAGATTGTGCAATAATACTATCAGGCGGAATTCTTTATTGCAAATAAACGAGTCACTCATGTTGGCAGGAAGGTGTTCTTTCATTAAGGCAATCAAGTGTGCAACAACAAAAAAATCGGTATAGTTCTGGTGATTTTTTTTTTTTTCAAAGTGATTTTTATCTTGACAGTTCTTATGGGAATAATGGAGAAGACATAGCACACGACAATCATTGCGTTATGATCATTTAATGTCCTCCCCCATTGCTTTTGGAGTGCTTTTTCAGCCCGAGTGCTTAGATCGCCTCCTAACAATCTTCTGGCCATCGATATTTTCGGAGCTTGGTCAAGTTCTCCTGCCCCAAACCCATGGCAGGGAGGGGCACCGGCTCGCTCCGGTGCGCCACCGTGTTGTACTGGCACTTCTTCAGGTGGTTTGACATGCTGGGGACGTCGGTGAATCCCCACTTCAGCACCGGGCTGAATGCGGTGCTGAACCGCCACACCTGTAATCAAACAAAAACCCAAAAATGAATAAGTAACTCGACTAACTGATTTTTCATACGCATGTTAGGTTCATTCAAGATTCTAAATCATAGCTATCAAAGATAAGGCCCGGGGGCCATATCTGGCCCGCCACATCATTTTTATGTGGCCCGCGAAAGCAAATCAAGCATGTCAAATTCCGTGATGCTTGCTAAAGTCTGAACAAAAATTTCAAATTGTCAGTTGTAATTCACAATAACAGTCATTATTCTTGACTTGTGATTAACTCATTCAGTACCAGCCAATTCTAGACCAAGTCTGAAAAGACGTTTCAAAACGTCTTTGGGAGTGCTAGTTATCCATCAATTTGTTGTGCGCTGTTTATGTAATATGTGAAGGTGATGAAACATTGATATGGTTTCCCAAAATTCATAACGGCCCTCCAAGGGAAACCGTAACTACAATGTAACAATGTGCCGCTCGATGACATCACGGCTGCGATGGGTTCGACGCGGAGGTTTTTGAGAAGCGCTTCCCATCGGCGAGTGTTTGCGTCGAGTTCAACTCACTTTGTGCTTAACCTGCCACGACACCCTCCCGTGACCGCCGGCGCTTTGCCTCCTTTCCCACTGCAGCTCCACGATACCTCTGGTGTGGAGGAGACTGGAGCACACCTCCCTCATGGTCCGCGACACCAGAGACAGTTGGCACAGGCTGAAGCTGTCCAGGTAGCCCGCGATGTGCCACAGAATCTCGGTGGGGAGTTCGCTGAACCGGTCCGACTGTGAATCGCCGGAGAGTTGGGCCCCGGGATGAGGCTGCACTCCGAAGGACCGAAGGAGCCTACTGTGGACCACCTGGGCCCCCGGGGACGTGGGGTAAAACCTCCGCTGGGAGAAGGTGCAGCCGTAAAAAGCCAACGGGCAGCGGTGCTCCATCCAGCCGTTGAGCCCGGCGTGAACGTCGCCGTGGACGTTGGTGAAATGGGAGGAGAACTCATCCCGGCGGAAGGACTGAGCGCACACGAAGGGGAACATGTGCTGGTAGCGGGCGTTGTTGGGGATGGAGTAGTTATGCGGGAGCGTCTGGACCTCCAGCGGTTCCAGAACGAGGCCGAGGCGGAGCGTATGGAAGGGGCTGGGGCAAGGGATCTGCGGGGACGCGTGATCGCAGGCGGACGCGGACGCCATGTCGCCAACCCTCGTGTTCGTGACCAGCACGGCCGCCGGGATGGGGAACGTCTGCGTGCCCGAGTGGGTGCGGCGCTCGTCCACGCGGAGGGGATCCGAGATCCTTCTGTACTCTCTTGATTCCTCCAGGCAGAAGATCAGGGCGGCTGTGATCAGGTCGATTTCTCCGAGCCCGACGGGATCGTCGTCCTGTTCCAGATCTGAGGTGTCAACTGCTTTGTCCTCTGTCTTGGTTTCTACTGGACTCTGGCCACTGGGGAGGATCCACTTTTCTGGCTTATGGTTTTGTCTGTCTTGCGGCGCCACATGAGGGGACAGACCCACTTCCCGAGGAGCAACCAAGTCCTTCCGTGCAACTACCTCCAGGCAGCCATTCATGAACAAAATGTTTTCTTCTTCCGTGGACTCATCTGTGATTTGTCCGTTCTGAAAGTGCACCAGTCTGGGGGTCTGCTGATCGGCTTCTGCTCCCACCGCTTCAGCAAGGCTATTGGCTGAGTTAGCAATGCTAACCACGTCCGATACAACGGCGATGTTCCTCGGCGGCGCTTCCTTACCGTTGTGCGAATCCTGAGAAGGAACCAAGTCCTCTTCGGCGACCTCTTTTGCTAATGAACTCGTTTCTTCCTGAGCCCCCTGCGCGGTTCGTCCCTTTTGAAGCCGCACGAGTCCGTCCAGTCTGCTTCCCTGCATTGCGGCTTCCGCTCTCGCACCTTCGACGCGGCCGTCAGATGAGTTTGCACGGCTAACCAGCTCCAGAGCAGTGGCTAAGGTCCTGGTGGTCTCCAGAGTGGCCTCGTACAGTTTGCCGTAGTGCTGCTCGTTCAGTCCGTTGATACCGTTGGCGATTCGCTCTTTCGCCGTCGCCGCTCGCAACTCAGACAAGCCTGACTCCGTCTCTTTGGCAATCTCACTCGCAGGGTCTGGTGAGCCCGTCTGGATGCTCGGCGGGACGGCAATCAACCTGAGGGATTCCAGCAAAGTGCACTGGTCCTGGAGGGCGAGGGCCATGTCTAGCTGCTCCACTTCCTCCACGCCGCGACTCAAGCGCTCGTACGACGAGTAGTCCGTGCAGCTGACTGGCCAGCGGTTCCACTCCATGGTGCAGCGCACCACCCCGGCCGGACACACCTCCAAGTGTGCCGACATTTGGTTGCGCGTCATGGCGGCGGGGCAGCCGTAGGCGCTGTTCAGGCACGGCACCCTCAGCAGCGAGCACAGGAGGTGGTGCTCATCGGCTTTGCACGAGTGAAACACTGCGCCGCACGTTAGAGGGCAGCTGGTGAGTTGGCAGGAAACGCCTGGCAGAGGTCTGACCGCGCATCTTAGGTTGACACAGGACATGCAGTGAGCATGCTCCTCGGCCATTTTGAGGACCTGCCCGATAAGGGGTCAAAGCAAACATTACACCATTCGCTCTGCTATTTTCTAAAATGCGTTTCCTCAGCTTGTTCTCAGTACCAGCTGTCGACATTCAAACCTCCAACAGTACAAAAGTCTTTCATACTTTACAAAAGCAAAGGGCTGTGAAATGTAATCTTCCTCAACTCGTTTTCAAAGTTAATCAAGCCATGAGCATTGTAATAAATAAAACAATGAGCTCACTGATCCCGTCTATTCGCCAAATATTTATCGGCGCAATTTTTTTTTCATTGTGCCAAATTGTCAAAGTAGTTATTGTATAGAAATATATTTTATATATTTACATATACCGTACTCGATATTACATTTTATACAATACTTTCACTTAATTGCAGGAGTTAAATTAGTACTTATACTTTCACCAGTCTTTTTTTTTTTCACAGTTTTTGCCACCGCTGACCATAGTGCAACAGCCAAGGTCTCAAAACTGCACTGTACTTTACATCACTTAAATTCGCCACTTTGTTGATATCAGCTCCAACTTTTGCTACCTGTCTATTAAATGAAGCATACAATTAATTTCATAGAACTGGTCGCAGCATCATCGCTGTCAGTCTAAACTCCGAACGTGTTTGGATGACTTCAGTCGGGGGTCTATATTTAACATGATGCTAACCTTGGCTAAAAACAATAGCATTGTCGGAAGTTTCGCTGGCCCTTTCTTCAAGCTATAGCGATATATAACAAACAAAAAAAAACAACAGGTACAAGCAAAGTGGGCACCTTCTCACCTTTTCCTTTAAGAAGTGATGCGTTAGAACGGACAACAAAAATAATGCAGCGGTGCGGGTCGTTTATGAAAGATGAATTCACATCCGTGTGTCGACTTCCTCCTCCCGAGCCAAGGTGGTCACGTGACCAACAGCATGGCAGCTCAGAGCTAGCAAAATCGCAACGACGCTCGATACTATGGCGCGTTCTTCAAACCTATTCGACCACAAATGCAATTCCGCGTGTTCGTGATAGCTGATAACTGTGAAAGACCTCCGTCACAGTCTATTGTCGTTGTGCGGTTGATTTGGGCGCCACATTGATAGCTTCGGCCAGCTATACTTGCACGTCAACAGAGCCGCCATGTTTGTCAGGGCAAAGTGCCATTCGTTTGCGAGAAACATTTGAGCATAACAACTTTTATCTCGTGGTTTTAATATATGTGAGTATAATCACATTTATACTGTGGTTTTAATGTGTGTGTGCGTGTGTGGCTTGAAAAATGTGTGTATATCAGATGAGTAGTACAGTAATAGATATCACTTTACATCAAATTCATGATTCCTTGACCCAAACTACGAAAATCTGATTTATTTCATTCACAAAAAAGAGAATACATTTTTTAGGAATAGTATAACACACCAAAAAGTGCCAAAAAGATGAGACAATTACAAAAAAAATCCTTTTTCGTTTTTGTTTTATTTCATTTTTAAACTAAGATCAGTGAGGTGGTCGTAGACCGTCTCGTTTACTTGAATAGTTTCCCATTGTCTTCTAATTGATGCGATGCGCCGGTTTTATGGACTGCAATGCCCTGTAGTACACACACGAGGTCAGTGTTGTGCCGGTTTGGATCCCCAAACGCAAAAAGACGCCATTTGGATGGATTTGAGAAAGCTGCTATTCCTATGGATGACCGCTGGGTGGCACAATGAGACTGTGATCTGCTGTCCATGGTGCTGAAACCCAGTTGACGTCCTTCCACCTCAGATCTATCCCCATTCTAACCCTTCAATTTAAATTTACGCTCAGGCTGTTTGCTGCCGACGTCATTGATATTTCTGAAAGTGTTTTTGTTTGGGGAATAACAATGACGAAACTGTCACGTGTTAGGATTGTGTCGTCTTTTACCTGCGCGTTAGGCTAATACGGTGGGTGAGAGACCTCTGTAGAGAAAGGGATGTGTGAGAGAAGACACCGAGATGGAAGCAGGCAGTCAGAGAGATTTTTGAGGGGTATAGAGAGTTAGCGAGGGGGGCGGGGGAGACAGGAAGCGTATAGGGAGAGAAAAAAGGGAGAGGGAGAAAGACTGAGGAGAGAGCTCCAAACCGTGAGAGAGAGAGAGAGAGAGAGAGAGAGAGAGATGGGGTAATAGGGAGTCAGTGAGAAACTGAAAGAGTCATAGTGTAAGAAAGAATGCTTGGTGGGAGGGGGTAGGGGGTGGGGCATGGTGCAAGAGCGGGGAAAGGCGCCGAGCAGGAGTAAAACTTTGGTGTGAATGACAAAGAGGCAGAAAGAGAGAATGAGAGAAAGGGCTCTGGTAACAGAGACAGAGTTGAGCTGTGTACTGTAGTTGAGAGAGGAGGGGGGGGGCGTAGAGAGCTGAGAGGAGAGAACTGTAGCTAGGAGAGGGAGAAAAAGAGAGAGCTGTGGCCTAATAGAGAGCGATATGGCTAAGAGATGGAGGGAGAGAGAGAGAGAGAGAGAGAGAGCTATAATGTGTGTGTGTGTGTGTGTGTGTGTGTGTGTGTGTGTCCGTGCGCGTATGAGTGAGATAGAGAGAGAGAGATCTGCAGATGGTTGTAGGAGAGAGTGAGAGAGAAAGAGAGAGCGAGAGAAGACGAGCGCGAGAGCAACACGCGCTCAAGAAGACGAGCGAAGGAGGCACGCGGCATGTCTCGAGGATTCAGGTAAGTTTTTTTTTTTCCACGCCTCAAACGCCCTTTCGTCCCATTTCCACATTGGCTACACGCGCACGCGGCTGCACGTGCACGCGCCTGGACAGGCGCCAGGCAGGCACCAGTGGAGCGCCTTTTTTTTTCTCGTGTTCGAGGGCCGCCTCAGTCATGACAAGGCTTCCGACGAGATGCGGCATGACAATTCCACGGACGCTCTTCGTGCTGGCGCTGTCTGTCCATTGTGCTGGAATCCGGTTTGGGGAAGAGTCCACGCCTTCCTTTCCGAATCCACAGCGCCCGATTTACTCCAAACAACCACGGGACTGATAGAAATCAGGTTCGGATCCGGACCTATAGGCGCCTTTATTTTTTTACATGTGTGAATTATTGAACCTGTGCAACTTTGGGAGATTTATAGTCTTGCTGCATATTTTAGATATTGACAGAGGATAATGCAAAAAAAAAGAAAAAAAAGAAAAGCTTCATTTTGGTCTGTTAAATAAGTTAAAATGCTTGACTATGTGCAGTTTCTATGTTCCCGGTTAGCCAATTTGACATCTTGCATGTTACAGTGTAGAGCTGAGGTCGACCCCCCCTCCCAAAAAAATTGTATTTACATTAGAAACATAAAATTGTTATATTTTGGTGAGTTACGATGACTGTGAAATCACAGAGTTACTGGAAATGGAAGAAAAATGTTCGACAAGAAAAACTTCGTGTTGGGTCAATATAGTCGTTTTCTTCTGATTTAAAAAAAACGTTTCCGTTAAAATGCAGAAGTTATAATGCTGGACCAATCAAATCGTAATGTGCTGAAAAAGTCATGCTCACGCTATTGAAAAGACGTGACAAGTATTTTTACAAAATGTGCATAAATACTGAGAAATAAGTCCGAATAAAGTTGAAATACAGCATGGAAGGGTACTTTGAACCATTTAACTTTTCCCAAGATGTACTTTCACTCTGTCATTAGTTAGAAGTAAAGTTCCTTGTTTTTTTTCGTGTCTCAGGTGGTGCGAACGCACCAGCCCACCACTCCACCTCATGATATAGCATGGAAGTGTACTTTGAACCATTTAACTTTTCCCAAGATGTACTTTCACTCTGTCATTAGTTAGAAGTAAAGTTCCTTGTTTTTTTCGTGTCTAAGGGGGTGCTAAGGCACCAGCCCACCACTCCACCTCAATAAGACAAAAACGAATGACTAAAATGAAATGATCATAATAATAATGATGTCATTTTTTTTTCTATATGTTGCCTCATTTTGTGACGCTCTTCCGGTTTGGGGCACAAAAATCTTTTCCCATTGACTCATCTAAAAGTTTTTAACGAATGACTAAAATGAAATGATCATAATAATAATAATAATGTCATTTTTTTTCTATATGTTGCCTCATTTTGTGACGCTTTTCCGGTTTGGGGCACAAAAATCTTTCCCCATTGACTCGTCTAAAAGTTTTTTTTTTTTTTCTCCTCTTGTCCCCCCC